CTCAGCTCCACCCTCTCCGTACAGACAAGGTTGTTATGCCTTGAAATGAAGGTAAAGGACAATCGGACAATCACAAATACGACATGCCTACGCAGCTCTCGAAAAATGTTAAGCCTTCTCGGCGCAGACGACGGGCTGCTAACATTTTTCTGCGCCACGGAGCGGCTCAGTATTATTATTTTATAAATTATTATATTATTATTACTTATTATTATTATTATTATTATTATTATATTATTATTATCTATTATTATTAATTATTATTATATTTTTTTCAATTTCTAACACTCGTCATAGAGTTTTCAAGATATAACTCAGGACAGAACGTCAGATGCATATATATGGGAGACTGATGGTGAAGAAGTTCTTGCGCCAGTGCAAGCTCAGGTCCTTCTCCAATGACAAAGAGAGATAACCTTAACCTCTCAGATATTTGTAATGCGCAAAATGCTTCTGTATGGTTCTGAGTACCAATTCATTTAGATGGAGTTCCTCTTTCACAAGCCTCCAATCTTCAGCACAAGCCCATTAGTTGAAATAACTACAGTACTTATCTACCTCTGATTGGTTTCTTGAATAAGGTTTTTCAGTTCTATCGAAGTGTCTTTCTGCAATTGTTCACAGCAGATTAATGAATCTAATATGGGAACTGCGATAGTCTATAATATTGGCCTCCTGGCGAGGGTTTTGTCGAAAACCGATTAATATCAATCATTTTTGCTCCAATTTGTTTTTATCTGTATACAATGACAATATCTTACAATAGTTTGCTCTCCTCATTGGGCAAGTGCAACGTCATCCGGTTAAAATAATTTGTTATAAAGGCAGATTTCAAGCAAGGGCTTGGTGAGGATTTTGGCCACACATTATGAGGTAAATAATCTGTTTGGGTTAAATTGAGAACATCCAGCCTGCAAGATGTGTTGAATAGATTCGTGTCCTTCTTACACAGGCGACACTGTCACTGACTACTCTCTTTCATGCTACATCGCCCGTAGTTATTTGTGGTTACTACCTAATCTTGAACTAGCCAGCACACAATCCCTTCCGTCTCGACAAAGAAAGCAGCGGTTCACACCCATTCAGTTCGATCTCTCGTGTCGATGGAGTTATTTCGCAAGCGCCGTAGCAAATTCTGCCATGGATTTCCTTTGATGCTCCATTGTTTGAATGTCAGTGTAAAAAAGGCTTTTAGTGAAAACGTGGATTGTGGTCTTTTTAAAACAAAAGCTTAAGGGTGTATATCCTATGATCTTGTGCGCAAATGGCTGTCATGGATTGTTGTTTGATTGAAATAATTCCCGAGTTTGTTTTTTCTTGCTGGCGGCATAGTAATTTCACAGGCCTTACAGTCCACGACCCTCCATGGCCTCTTGACACATGTAGCCTTACGCTGGACTTTCAAGAATGATCATCCGATATTTTGATAAAGTATTCTAAATTTTTCTATCGAGATTTGCAAAGGTGTCTCAGAAGTTCTGTAACACCAGAGAGAACCATTTCTTTCCGTTTGTTTCTTAATTTTCTCACCTGCAGTTCCTGGGAGCTTATGAAGCGCCAGATACATCGACATTGAAGACTTCTGTTAACTTTGTTATTCATTTTTTTTTTGAATAAACTCCTCGCCTCAATAATTATTTCAATTACGGGTATTTTTTTATACATTTATTGCATAGTAATCAAGTGCTTCAAGCTATTAATTTCACCTTCCATAGACAATAGTGAAAATTTTCTGTGAAAGTGAACTCAAAATTGTGCAATTCAGATGAAGCGCTAAAAACGATATTTCCTAAAAAACGCCACAATATTTATATTTTACTATTTCTGTAACTTTAAGTGCAACTCGCGCCATATTTTTACTTTTATCAATATAGCTTATATTCATTGTTCAGTTGACTATGAGAAAACAAACAAACTTAAGAAAAATGTGAAAAAAATGACTTTGTCGCCAAATCGATGTTACCTGGGAAAGAAAGAGAAAACTAGAAGAGCTAAGCTAGAATAATTAAATAAGGTAACTAGTACGAGAAAGGCCTGAATTCTGCTACATCACAATTTCTCAATGATATTTCGGGGTCAGCCGACTTTTTTGTGAATCGACCTCTAACAGCATTACCGGGTAAGTTCAAGTGGTTTCTAATGGACTATGTAGAGTAACTAATGTAGAGTAACCTATGTAGAGTAATATGTAGAGTAACTCGTGTAGAGTAACTATGTAGAGTAACTATGTTTAGAGTTAACTATGTAGAGTAACTATGTTAGAGTAACTATGTAACAGTAACTAATGTAGAGTAACTGAATGTAGAGTAACTATGTAGAGTAACTATTACGAGTAACTATGTAGAGTAACTACTGTAGAGTAACTATGAGAGTAACTATGTTAGAGTAACTATGGTAGAGTAACTATGTAGAGTAACTACTCCTGTAGAGTAACTATGTAAAGAGTAACTATGTAGAGGTAACTTATGTAGAGTAACTATGTAGAGTAACTAATTAGAGTAACTAGGTAAAGTAACTATGTAGAGTAATAGGTAGGAGTAACTAGGTAAGAGTAACTAGGTAGAGTAACTAGTAGAAGTAAGCTAGGTAGAGTCAACTAGGTAGAGTAACTAGGTAAGAGTAAGTAGGTAGAGTTAACTAGTAGAAGTACTAGGTAGAGTAATAGGTAGAGTAACTAGGTCAGAGTAATAGCGTAGAGTAACTAGGTATAGTTAACTAGTATAGTACTAGGTAGAGTAACTAGGTCGAGTAACTAGGTAGAGAAAGAGAAAGAGAGAGAGAGAGATAGTTAAAGAGAAAGAGATAGTTAAAGAGAAAGAGGGAGAGAGAGAGATAGTTAAAGGGAAAGAGGGAGAGAGAGAGATAGTTAAAGAGAAAGAGGGAGAGAGAGATAGTTAAAGAGAAAGAGGGAGAGAGAGAGATAGTTAAAGAGAAAGAGAGAGAGAAATATGGATATGTTGTATTGGCTAATACAACGGATAATTGTAGTTGGACGTCATAAAAACCGGTAAATATCTATTATACCAATTAAACACATGTTAAAAATTGAGGATATTTAGTTGTCATTTAGTTGAATTATATGAATATGAAACATCAATATATTATACATACGAATTAAATATTAATTTACCTCCAACATTTATTTCGTTTCAATTTCGATGCGATATAGTTTTAACAATTTTATTGGGAAGTTAAGTAAAAAATTCTGAGAATTGATTAACTGTGAGGCATCTTAACAGTTTTTCTCGTGCCATAGGTGTGAGTGACCTAGATATTTCACTCATTCCAACGACGGACTTGTCACCACAAAGAGACGAACAGATTAATCTCTCTTCCATCCCACCGTACTATTCAACTCAGCACTCGAAACCTACCCACTCAGGCACGTACTACAACGAAACGATGAATTTCTACAACGAAAGGGGAGAGACGAAGAAATACGACGCTAGATCACCAGATCGCGGGGATTTTCTTGCTCAAGGTTAGTGACAACTTCTGGACCTTTTCTGCAACCTGTAGAAGATAATTTGGAAATGTGTATTTTTGGTTCATTTGTTTACAAACTTGTTCGAAAATTTAAACATATTTTTCTTGCTTAATTTAGAGTTAAACTGTGAGAATATGTTTACTCTTCTGTTAGAATAATAGCTGTTTTGAGAATTCATTGTAACTTCACTTTGTGTGGAAGATGTCTTCGGAACTCAATACTTTCGAGTTCAAATCACTGCAGAACTTTTTTGTATATTTTAAAAGAACAGAGTACAACACATTGAACTGCCATTTTCATTAAATATTTTCAATTTATAAAATGTTTTGTTTGTTTTAGAAAATCTCACAATTCTTTTAGTGAGTTTTTTTAAGAGGTAGCTGAAGTTATTGCGTGATGCAACCTTCGGTCCTATGTAACTGATATAAATAATGCGAAAAAGTATGTAGTGTTGTAGTACCACTAGTTTTTTTTAAGTTGTTGCGTTTTAGTAAATTGCCACAGAATGATTTCCTGCAGCATATTAGCATTCCCTACCTTCATAAAGAACATATCACCACACTTGGAATCTTCCTCCATTTCGACCTAAACGTTTGTACAAAATATCTTTCTCGACTTCATTCGCCATTGAATTCTAGATTATCGATTGCTACAATGCTTCGCCATGCTTATAGAGAGGTTTACTCTAAGATGAGACCGCTTTAACTGGTCGGGAAACAAACGTCGTGTGGTAGGATTGGCATTGCAAGAGATAGTCATGAAGTCATTTCCAGTTAGCTAACTGTAAATGGGGTAGATAAATAGAGTGCAAATACATAACTTGCACTTACGGTTTGTGATCAAAAGTATCCCGATCTGTGGCTGAAATTGACTTACGAGTTAGTGGTGAACTCCATCAGTAATGCTAAAATTCAATACGGTGTTGCCCCCCCCCCTAGCCTTGATGACAGCTTCCACTCCCGCAGTCCTACTTTCAATCAGGTGCTGGAAGTTTTCTTGTGGAAGGTCAGCCCATTCTTCACGGAGTGCTGCACTGAGGAGAGGTATCGATGTGGGTCGGTCGAAGCCTGGCACGTTGTCGGCGTTCCAAAACATCCCAAAGGTGTTCGATAGGATTCATGTGAAGACTCTGTGCAGGCCAGTCCATTACAGGGATGTTATTGTCGTGTAACCACTCCGCCACAGCCCGTGCAGTATGAACAGGTGCTCGATCGTGTTGAAAGACGCTATCACCATCCCCGAATTGCTCTCCAACAGTGGGAAGCAAGAAGGTGTATAAAACATCAACGTAGGCCTGAGCCGTGATTGTGCCTCTCAAATCAACTAAGGGTGCAATCTCCCTCCATGAAAAACACGCCCACGCCACAACACCTTATTGGACGCGTCCGGATACGTTTGATCACATAGTGTAAATCCATCGCTGCGGCTGGCCTCGACTCTCTTCGGCGGATCGTCTGGAGAAGCGGGTGCTGCGCGCGTTCCGTAGACTTTAACCATAACAATCGACATAGAAATGGCTCTTCAATCAAACTGCGTAGCGCCGGGCCGGCGGTACTCCCAGTCGCGGTGCGGCGGCGGCGGCGGCGCGGGCCAGCCGCTGTCGCAGTCGTCGTCCCGCACCAGCAGCCACTCGCCCCGCAAGGCCCCGCGCTCGCCGCCAGGCGGCGCGGCGGCGGGGTGGCCGGCGGAGCGGAAGGGGCCCTGCGGAGACGAAGAAGAAGAAGAAGAAGAGGAGGACGACGACGAAGAGGAGGAGGAGGAAGAAGAAGAGGAGGAGGACGAGGTGGCGCGCCTGCACAGCGAGTTTCGCAGCTCCCGCGCCGCGTCGGCGCCGCTCCACAGGGGCCCCGCGGCGCTGTGTAGGGGGGACGCGCCCTGCCAGGAGCAGGTGAGACGACGTCGATAGCGAAACGGCCACGTTCAAAATACATCGACTAAAAACTATCGATGTTTTTCAATCTCTATATATATTGGCTGGTTTAATAACCTCTTAACATTAAATTCGTGTGCATTAGAATTCAATTCGACCGTGTTCGTCTTTAACAATTCTCCAAATAAGAGTACGAGAAGAAAGGCCAGACTGTACGCCTCCAGAGTATTTGTTTGTTGTGTCCAAAAAAACAACAACGTAATTTCTTTAAAAAATAGATTTATTCTGATCTCACACCAGTACAGAGTAACCATATACAAGCCAGATCCAACAGTTTTCCTGAAGACGTACCAGTGTATGCCAAAGTCCCCGTTGCCCAGGGAGATGTCCGAAGTTAGTCGCCTTAGCACCGAAGTATCTGTCCGAGAGAGAGCCGTACACTTTGCTCTTCCTCTAACACTGTTCACAATCCACTGATGCACTCGATACGGCTGGTAGGCGCTCAACTGCCCTCTGCCCGCCGGGGCGCTGCTTTATAGCCCGCTGGGGCTGAGGGTCCGTTGCCAGCCCCCGGGTTGGGGGTGGTGCCTCCTTTTTTGGTGCCTGGTCGCGCGTGACAGCGCCGCGGCGGCTGCTGTCGTCGCCCTCTTTTGAGAGCAGACCGTACTAGGTTCCGGTGGTTCTTTCAATGGTGAGCAGTCGACTCCTGCATTGTTGACCATATCTCAATGTGCAAAATGAATATGGAGAAAGGAAAAAGTCCAGAACTTGGAGGTCATTTCGGGCGAGAGATTTGGTCGGCGAAGGTACTGCAAACAGTGTTGCTTTGGTTCCAACACATAAATAACAGTGTTACTATCAGTTATTATTTCATATTTTAACTTTTACAGTATTATGATCATGGACATTTTTAATTCAGAAACAAAACAACGATGTTAAAAAAACATAATTGTTAATACATCGAAGTGAAAAACATCGATGTTCTGAAAACATCGACATCGATGTCGGATGCCTACTTCCTAGGGGTGCTATATCGATGGGCTTGTATTCAATACATTCATGTTTTGAACGTGGATATACAGGTGTCCGGGGAGGACAGGTCGAAACTTCGCAAATAAGCTTTTAAGACAATTTTAAGCACATTTTGTCAGGTATACTAATGGGATATTCAGAATGGGTGAGCCGCATTCATGATAAGCATTCAAATGTTGGTTTGAACAAATTTGCATTGCAGAAGCCTAGAGACACTTCAGAAACATGGAGTTTCTTCCTCGTACACCCGGTATTAAAGCCGAGGTTTTTTTTATCTTCGATGTTTTATTCTCCACATGTTTTCCGTTTTCGATGTCTATTTTGTAAATGAAAATTTGGAAAAAGCTCATCATTGCACATACGCTGGTAATTTTATGTTAATCCATTTTCACTTTGCCAAATGGCACGGAGGTCTTCTTTTCCAAACGTATAACGTTTCCTCAAATTGTCGGTTTAAAAGGGGAGGAAATCAAGGATTCAGAATAATTAAAGGAGAGATTTATTTCCTTAAGCGACTGGGGCCCCTTTCGTGGCTTTCAAGGGAGCCATGGCGTCTCTGGACACCCCTGGCACTACGCCTACGGTACAATATCCTGTTAATTCCTATGGCAGTTGCTGTCGAAGTGCACGCGAACTTCAATAAGCTATTTATCTTGCCTGCGACCCTGATACGTCTCACCTGTGAGGTGCGGTGCACTGCCTAGGCGACGGGAATCAGCAGCTAGTCCAGGCGTGAGAGAGTCACGGGATTTGTGAGCACTGCGTCAGTACCAACTGGCGCGAGATTTAAAAGAAGATTTGTACAAATTTCTTCGCAGTTGAGATACGTCGCTGTTTGCCGGGCCCATGACAGCCTATTTCAGAATTCAGTTGACAGTTAATTCCTCAGATTTAGCTATTATAAATCCCATTTCCTCTACTATATTAAAGAAATTCTCAATTAAAATGAAATAATACTTCAGTCAGAATTCAAATGGTTAAATAAGAGTAAAATTAAATTTTCGAATTGAAAGTACTTTGAATACGTGTTTACTGAATACTACTTACTACTTTACTTGAATATATGTTTACTTAAGAGTGCAATAATTGCATTAAAATTTCTACGTTCAGGTTTAGAGGTGATTCAGAACAGAACAATTCATGAGTTGTGCGCCGGAGAGAATTGTTAATTTATAGAAACTTGTTAATTTATTTCACATTATTGCTACACACAAAAAATAACTAAATGATTCAGTAAAGCATAACACAAAACGAAAATGAGGAAGGATCGGTTACTCAAATGTATTCCTGCTACTTGGCAAAAATGTTTATGCTCGTACTATGCAGAATTTTAAATAAATTTAATATGAAATAATAATAAGTAATAAATAATATAAACATAATTTTAATTCTTTGAGAGACCAAAACTGGCAAATATATTTTCGACCAAACCCAATATTCCCCGCGAAAGTTGTGTTTCGCAATAACAAAACTAGTGGTTCTAAAACAGCACCACTAGTACTTTCTCGCCCGTACTTTCACGCAAAATTACGCGAAAAGTACTCAAAACTTTCGAAAAATTGTTTACGACCTTGTTTCAAAATCTATCTGTAAGGAAAAATCTGTGTCTGTAATATTTTAGCTGTAGAAGGCGCCAAAAAATTTTGACTTTTGCAATTTTCGAAAACTCAGGGCGTTTAACTATACATTAATCAGTTGAACGGTTTAGCTGCCAGCGTTGTTCACAGTCAACCGACTAGACGGGCGGACAGAGACGATTTGCATTTGACATTTGATTCTTCATTACCAAGGACCCGCAAAACATGGTTTCTTGTTACACCAGGTGTTAGAGGATTTTTAAACTAATTTTAACAACATGAATTATTCACCTTTCGTTATCATGGCCCGGCAAAAACAGTTTTTCTGCCGAAAATTCGCTGTTTTTTTTCGCGCAGCATTACATAATTTCTCTCTACGCCATCGAAAAAGTAAAATAACAATTTATTTTCCAGCCTTCTGTCTTACAGTTCACTAGTTACTTAACTTCATAGTTTCGAAGTTATTATTGCAAATATACTAGCACAACATGCTTTCATTTGCATAAATTCACATTCCTTTGAATCTGAAAATCTTTCGATGCACGAGCTCTCGATCGTCACCTTGTTGCTAGGAGGAGATAACTGACAACGGTAACCCACCGCGTTACTCATACCTTAACTGTAACAAGCTTCTCACCGGTCGCTTCGAGATGGCGGGACCGATGAACGTGGCTCAGGGCACTGATGTGACCGCAATGCCTCAAGTGGTCCTAGGGTTCGAATCGGTGGCAGGGTTTTCGACACTAGCTAGGCATCTAGGCCGAATTCAGCCGCTGACCGGGGTAGAATTCTAGTAACCGGTGGCTGTGACCGGTAGTTTTCCGTGGTTTCTCCGATCAACACCATGCGTTTCTCCGATCAGTTCCCTTTCAAACGGGCAATGAACCGCGCTCGATCATTCCTTCCTCTTCTTTGTCCTACCCTCACGCCTTACTTACACACACTTACATGTAACACATACTGTATCTCGGGATTCTAGTCGCTAGCTTAGAGGTGGTCCGGGCTGCGACGGTGCCTCGACGGTGGGAGATACCTGGTTGGGGAAAATGGGCGCAAACTGACGTAGGTCGGCGACGGATGTCATTCAGCTCGGAAAAGTGATTGCCATCTCTCCGAAGGAAACTTGCAATACACTCACGGGACTAATGACTTCAGTGGTTGAAGAACTCGGAATCGCTAATGAATTAATCAATCAGTGACGGTGAGATGGTGGGTGCTGTCGCAGGAGGATGAGGGAGAGCTGCAGGCCGCGCCGTCGCGCCCGCGCCGCTGCTCCGTGCCCGGCCTGCGCGCCTACCCCGCGGACGCCCTCGCCGGCCGAGAGGACCGCCAGGGTAAGCGCTGCACTGCCGCGTCTTGCGTTCAGGCCACGCAATGCACCTACGAGGATATTGAATTGAATTGAGTTGAATTAATACCTTATTTTACGTGGCGAGACTCAGGTCATCAGGCCTGCTCTTCCGTTTGACCACGCAAATTTCGCTACGCTCCTTTCACCAACTAGCAGAAAAAGGAAGCATTTCTTGGCCGAGAAACAGGCGATTTAGCTCAGAGGCGTCATTTAGGCTTGAGGATCTTTTACATGCAAGTAAATCTACTAACATGGGACAGCCGGCTTTACTTCCCCTCCGAAGGAAGGCGTACGAAGGATTTTTCGCCCTTAAAAATCCACGGCTTCGATCGGATTTGAACGCCAACTTGGGTACAACAGTCCGAAACGCTAACCGTTACATCACAGCCGCGCGTATTGAGTGGATTGCATGTATTTTTTGTGTTTGCAGGCAGCCTGACGTCCTAAGATACATTAAGTTATCAAAAGTATCTGGACTCGTGGCTGAAAATGACTTACCAGTTCGTGGCGCCCTCCATCGGTAATGCTGGAATTCAATAGGGTGTTGGCCCACCCTTAACCTTCATGATAGCTCCCACTCTCGCCGGCTTACTTTTAATCAGCCGCTGGAAGGTTTCTTAGGGAATGGCAACCCATTCTTCACGCAGGGCTGCAGTGACGAGAGGTATGGATGTAGGTCGGTGAGGCCTGGCACGAAGTCGACGTTCCAAATCATCCCAAAGGAGTTCGATAGGAATCACGTCAGGACTCTGTACAGGCCAGTCCACTACAGGGATGTTATTGTCGTGTAACCACTCCGCCACAGCCCGTGCAGTATGAACAGGTGCTCGATCATGTTGAAAGACGCTATCACCATCCCTGAATTGCTCTTCAACAGTGGGAAGCAAGAAGGTGTATAAAACATTAACGTAGGTTTGTGCCGTGATAGTGCTACACGAAACAAGGGGCGCAATCCCCCTCCATGAAAAACACCACCACACCGTAACATCATTTTGGACGTGTCCGGATACTTTTGATCAAGTAGTGTACTTCCTCCAGATGAGACTCAAATAGTCAAT